CTGAACTGCGGAGTATTACTGTGTTTGGATGTACTCGTGAGAATTTTAAGTGAGTTAGCAAGATGTTATACTTATAGACGTTAAATTTCAATAATTACTCTCACTAAATCACAGTCACCTCAGTACGTAATTAATAGTGATGAGCTCAGTCAGGTTGTCGCCCACCGCCACAGATTGCGCTAAACCATTTCAAGGCCATTCTATGGCAGAATTAATACCAACGTCAGCCCTGTTCAACTTCTTACAGTATCATAAAGCAATATGGATTGGTGATGACGACTTATTGAAAAGTGATGGATGGGGATTGGGAGGAAGTAAGTCTCTTCGCTCAGTTACCGTTACCAGAAGGCTGTATGGGGGCGCGATATTATAAACGACCGCGGGGTAGCAGCTCTTTATCAGTAGCTTGGTTGCAAAACAAACTATCATATTGGATTCAAGCTGATGATTCCCCTCTATGCAGGTTGGGCGGCTGCTTCTGCCGCCTCCCGGAATCCATGCCAACCCCACGCAGGTGGCCACAATGGCCTTCGATACAAGCCAGGAACTTCTGTGGACAGGGAATGAATATGGCAGGGTCTCAAGTTTCTATGGTACTGAACTCTCGCCGTACACTTCTTTTATTGCAGGAGAGGGCCCTGTACGCCAATTGCTCTTTCACGATAAAGGTGTTATAGCATTAAGTACGAAGAGCGTACATATGGCTAGTAGAAGAGGACCTCCGATATGGCATATCATGTAGGTATATGTTGAACTTTGGACCCTTTGGAGGCTAACTGCTTCTCCTGCAAGGCACGATGAAATGAGGGATCTAAGGTGTATGAGTTATACCTCCAAGGGTACATCCGAAATCCTGGTTGCGGGCGTCCAGGATCAGATGTTTACTATTGATGTGGATAAGGGAACGATAACCAAGCAGGTATGAGGGAGCATTTTCTGTTGACTGGGGTTGCGCTGAACATTTAGATACCTACAAATGACCATTACACCATAATGAAAAGGAGTCGACACATATGTGCTGCGACTAAAGGTGGTGCTGTTAATATCCTGGATTCAATAACTTTCAATATCATCAAGGCCTGGAACGCTCATGCCTCACTCATCAACGATATGGATGCCCAGCATGATTTCATAGTTACCTGTGGTTATTCTCTTCGACAGCAACAGTCATATATGCTTGACCCACTCGTCAATGTATTTGACTTAAAACGTATGATCTCACTTCCACCAATCCCTTTCCCAGCAGGGGCAGCTTACGTCCGGATGCACCCGCGGATGTCAACGACTAGTATTGTGGTGTCACAGCTTGGGCAAATGCATCTTGTAGATCTGATGAATGTGAACACAAGCAATGTGAGGCAAGCTAATGTACTAAGCTATTTAAGCATGATTGAGATAGCTCCATCTGGGGAAGCTATTGCTCTAGCGGATGCAGAATGTAATATCCACCTCTGGGGTTCACCCTCTAGAATACGTTTTGCCGAGCTTAGCAATCCCGTTGAGTTTTCAGACCCGGAGGAGACACACCCCGTACTCGATTGGGGCGTTGACACGTAAGTTACGCCTATCTTATACTTAAAGAGCGCAAGTAACTCTTCCTAGCCCTTTGAACAGTATTGGCATGCCATACTACCGCGAAGCCCTTCTATCAGCATGGCCAAGCCATATGATCTCCGAAGTTGGGGCACCTCCTGCAAAATTAGACTCACAGTTTATGTCCACTCTGAAAAATACGGATTGGGGAGGCTACGGGCGAAATCCTAGGACAACGAGGAGAAATCAGATAGAGAATACACGCGTGATAGAAAAAACTTCCGGTAGCATACAGGCCCCGAAATTCTTGAGCGAAAAGGCTAGGGAGGCAGTTAACGACACATCTGCTGAAAGACGAATGAGTGATGTTTCTGATGCTATTAGTTCATTCGAGCTGTCAAGTCTGAAAGCAGATGTTCCAGCTATGTATAGAAATGTGGAGATCAAATACAGCAAGTTTGGCGTGGATGATTTTGACTTTGGGTAAGGCTAGTCCGTGTCATTATCCGCGGCTACAACTAACTGGGTTATAGGTTCTACAATAAAACTCAGTATTCAGGGCTGGAAATCCATATTTCCAATTCATATGCTAATCCTCTGCTTCAAGTAATGCACTTTACCCCTTTGATTCGCAATTTTGCACTGCAACATGCTGCATCATCGTGTGCCAATGAATTATGCCTATTATGCGAAATGGGATTTCTGTTTGATATGCTTGAAAAAGCTGAGGGATCAATATGCCAAGCTACAAATCTTCTTAAGACATTTAGTAGTCACCCTCAAGGTAGATATACTTTGGAAGCATTAAAATACAGATACTGACCATCCAGCAGCTGCTCCTTTAGGGCTATTGGAGGAAGATAACACTGGTACACCATTGACAACGATGCTTCAAGGGCTTAACCGATTTTTATTGGAAAGAATCACTCAAGATTATAGGAGCATTCCACCCCATGCAAATGCATTTGACCAGGTGAGTATAAACCCCAAGGTTATAGCTGGTGAACTCACAGGAAGGTAGGTATTAGCGACCTCGGCCACAATTACTATCAGATGCATGAATTGTAGAAGTGAACATACTAGACCTGGAACAACCTATGTCAACGAGCTCGTATACCCAATACAGGTATGTGGTGTAGTTCTCCTGGAACATAATGTTTAATAATTACTTATGGTTCCAGAAAATGGGTGTGCGGAACGCGAGAACAGTTAAACCTTCATTCTCTCAAGTCCTAAAGGCAAGTGTAGAACGCGAAACGACAAGCAGAGGGTGGTGTAGCAGATGCCAGCGCTACCAGTCCCTAGCAACTCGGAAGACCATTCACAGTGTTCCTGCAGTTTTAATGCTTAATGCGGCTGCAAATAGTCCTGAAGCTAAGCAATACTGGGCGATTCCAGGATGGTTACCCGACGAAATAGGTGTTATTCTTGACCAGGGGCAGTTCTTTTGCTACCAGGGAGATGACATGAAACTACATCTACAAAGGGGAATACACAATATTGTGGTGTATTCACTAGTTGGTGTGGCTGCCGATATTGATAGTGGGCAACACCAGAAATCGCACCTAGTTTCCTTAGTAAATGGTTAGGTCTTCCTTTTATGCTTATGTACCCTTACTAATTCAGACAGTTGCTCATTCACAACCCACTGCACCTACGGAACCACAGTGGCATCTATTTAATGACTTCCTCGTTCGACCTATCAAGACAGAGGAAGCCCTAACTTTCAATACTTCTTGGAAGATGCCTTCGGTCATTACCTACCAAATCAAAGCCGCTAACAACCGTATCGATAATACTTGGAAGACAAACCTAGATACTTCGCTACTGTATATTGATAGAAAGTAAGAAACTTCCTTATAAAGAATATCCACACCCATTCTGACAATCCGCAGTACGAATCCAGGGGAAAGAACATACCGGCCCTTGGATGCTCAGCGTGAAGCCCCCACTGAGGGCACAATCATTGCCCTTGACACCGAATTCGTTGCCATCCGTCAACCAGAAATAGAAATGAATTCAGATGGTGAGCGTGAGACGATTCGCCCTATAGTTTACGCACTTGCCAGAGTCTCCGTTGTCCGAGGCGCTGGCGAAGACGAAGGGTTACCATTCATAGACGACTATATTACTTCCAAAGAGCCAATCGTGGATTACCTAACTTCATACTCCGGTATTGTCTACGGAGATCTCGATCCACGACTCTCAAAACACAACCTTGTTCCTCTAAAAATTGCCTACAAAAAGCTTTGGATCCTCGTCAACCTAGGCTGCAAATTCCTCGGACACGGTCTAAAACAAGACTTCCGTGTTGCAAACATCCACATCCCCAAAGCACAAGTCATCGATACAATCGACCTCTTCTTTCTGAAATCACGTCTGCGTAAGCTCTCGTTGGCGTTCCTTGCATGGTACCTCCTCAAAGAAGACATCCAGCTCGAAACGCACGATAGTATCGAGGACGCTAGGACGGCCCTCAAGTTGTACAAGAAGTACCTTGAATTCCAGGATGCCGGCATCTTCGAGACCATCCTACAGGATATTTACCGCACAGGCCGAGATATGAATTACAAAGCTCCAGCGCCGAAAAAGGAGGGAGCCATCATCAAAAGAACAGAGACACCGCCGATCTTGAACGACGGTGCAGGTGCAGGTGCCGGTACTGTTAATCCATCGGCTCTCGCAGGAGGAGGAGGAGGAGCCACATCTAGTCGAAGCCAAGAACAGGGACAGTCTCAAAATCCGCAACCTCCCGTCACACCAGTTCGTAAGCCCTTTGGGGGATCAGGATGGACTCCCGGGAAGGGTTCATCAGGAGGCGCATTCGGCAGTGGTTCACCATCGCCATTCCGATGAACTGTGAACTTGAAGTTGGGATTAAAAGGTTGAGATTTCAAAAGGATCTGCTTCCTCTCTTCTTTCTACCTTTTTCTTTCGCTTTTCCGAAAAGTAAATGGAGAAGAGATATAGTGTTTGTTTGCTTGCTAGAGATAGCGCTTTGTGTGTGTGTGTGTGTGTGTGTGTGTGTGTGTGTGTGTGTTGGATTATCCATTGTGAGAATCTCAGTTGTATTGGCTGTTAATGGACATTATAATCTCGGTTTAAAGGGTAAATGAGGGTAGTGAAAGAAGAACAGTGAGAATAGGGAAACAATCCAAGATATATAACAGATAATATTGCAATTTCAGCTTGGTTTGAGATAAATTATCATTATCCATATTGTTGTCCACCGGTTTGCGTAATGTACTGCATCAAGCAGCTCTGGGGGATGTATTTCCGACAAAGTGACGTGAGGGCAGTTCAACTCTACCTTTTTGTCAAAAGACCAATTATTACAATACTTCGATGCGTAGCGTACTTATACAACAGGATTTGATCGTGTATAACATAATGGAGATGATGGGTCTTCGGTAGTTATCGCTTATCACCGCATATGAATCAACATAACGAGAATCCTTCCAATTAAAGCCTCCTTAGCTCAGTGGTAGAGCGCATCACTAGTAATGATGAGGTCGCGAGTTCAATTCTCTCAGGAGGCAGCTTCAATTTTTTTTTAAATTTATAATTTTTCTTTTATAATCATTCTTCCAGCCTTATCATGTGTATGTATCGCCATAAGAAAATCCTTTCAATTAGGCCTCCTTAGCTCAGTGGTAGAGCGCATCACTAGTAATGATGAGGTCGCGAGTTCAATTCTCTCAGGAGGCAAATTCAAACTTTTTTTTTTAGATACTTTTATTTCTTTGAATTTTTATACTTCTTAAGCTCGATATTAATAGAGTGATTTATTTTTGGCAGAAGAAGTACGGAGTACTTTCGCGAGATTCGGATGTAGACCCAAAAAAGTAAATATCCCAGAGTTAATAGCCGTCTCAATGGTCGTCACATTGCCTACAGTTTGTCTTCTTGGCTGCAGAGGTTTCTCTCTATTGTCCAGCCTTTTGCGCCGACAATGTTTTCGACATGGGCTTCAACCTCTTTAACACAAAAAGGGCCATTAACATTTTTGCAGTTCGGGCTCTTTTATCTGCTAAAGTATTCATGTCAAGAGAAAGGACTAAGAGTCCACTTTACGCATCAAACACAATAATACGGAGATCACAGAAACACCCAAAAAGTTGACCAACGTCATTCTCTACCAGGTAAACTATATAAAATAGCCCACTAATCATCGACCTCCTCTGGGAATTCGCCTCAAGAAGAGGAGAGAGGAGAAACTTCATCCCAAAAAGAGAGAGAAGATCAAAAGACAACATAACTTAACCATGAAAATGAAAGAAAATCACTTGTGATTTAATCAAAACCGTCCTAACTCAAATACGTCAAGTAAAACCGTACATATAGTAATATATGGATAAAATGTGACCGTAAACCCCTTGCCCTGAAGCCGCCGTCCGGGGACCAGCTCGGCCCCTAAAATGTTCACCATGATATTTTTGCCTTTTACGAGGAAAGGTGCAATTTCCTCGGCATGTCATCTCTCAAAAATTCCCAAATGTCGAATGAAATCCCCGCCCCGTTTGCAATGAACTACTTCATTTTGTATGGGTATCGTCCCAAAACAAAGCCAAATACGTTTTTTGGGCGCACAGTGTGTTTATGACCGTCCCTATCGTACCTTACTCGCCGTAGTTCCGCAGCCATAGCTGTAGCCTAATATTATGCGCATATACCGTTGCCGTTTGTGGTGTACAATGAGTGAGTGAATGAGTAAAACGTGATATTTCCGTATGCAATGCAAGATTCAAAAAATGAGATTCGTTCCTTTTTTAGATTCGGACTGTTTTGCCTTCACCCATTTCTTACCATATCTTCCATTGCCTTGGAATCCACTTTGTGCCCTACGTAATTCTCAAGCACTTGATGGAAATCGGACTCATTGACAACCGCACCCGTCTCGGAGCACTTGGCCTTCTTCTGGAGGTCCTTGCAAAGCCCATCGAGATCGAACTCACCCTCCTTCAGCTTGGGACAAGCTTGGAGACGGTCCCTATAGGATTCGGTATTAGCAAATGGCCATGGAGAGGCACATACCCACAGATCAGCAGGGACAAAATAGAAGCAGCATACCATATTGTGTTGCACGTCAGCATCTTAGAAGTATCTTCACCCGGTACGACCTCTACATCATCGGCAGATTGGGCTTGATCAATCTGGCTAACGAGGTCTTTCTTCGGGCTAGAAACTGTATTATATGGACTGGTGAAATCTGTCCCGTTGAATGGATATGCTTCGCTGAAGAAGCTATCACCAAATCCACCACTGGCAAGGACATTGTCCTGTGGCTCACGGTAGTCACCGTAGAGCTGGGGATCAAATTGGTTGCCGTTCTGGGCAGCAAGGAAATCAATGCCATTGAAGTCGTAGTTAGGGGTTGAGAGATTATCTGTATGGTGGTTGTTGGCATTGGAACTGGTACTGGCACTCAAGCTGGCCGAGAGGGTACGCGGAATAGGGTTGTGGGGGTTGCCACAAGCCTCGTTGAGCTTCTGACAGAAGGATATCTCACCTGGGGAACTTCCACTCGAACACTTTCCATGTTCTTCGCCAATAGTGCCTAAAGTATTGTCAAGTGGCTTGCTATAGCTCGGGGACTGCGCCACCGGCTCGGGCGAAGTCCCGCAAGAAGAGCTGGGACCATGAACAGAATTGGATGATGCTGATGGCGAGCTATGCGAGGTGCTCGCCTGTCCGCCAGATCCGGATGTCGAATCCATACTAGACCGTGAGGTGTAGGAGTCCTTGTTTCCTAGGAAATCGAAGGGGGACTGGGATTTGCTAACACTCTCAAGTAGACTGGGACTGAAAAGACCAGTGAAGGTTGACATATCCGTAACACCTTGGCTAATGGTCTGGTTGAGACCCGCGGTAGTCTTGTTAGTGCCGTTGGTCTTGTTGCCATTGGTATTGTTATTTGAAGGCGAGTTCGCAGTTGCATTCTTCGGGCTGGCTGAGTCCCGATCGTTGGATGTGGTCTTCGATAGTTGAGCACCATTTGACGGAGACACTGGGGTGATGCCCTGCAAGGTCTTAAAACTCTGAGGTGTAGGTAGTCGTCCGAATCGCGGGAATTCGAACTGGAAATTGACGTCATTGATAGATGAGGCGGCAGAACCTCTACCAGCCATGTAATTTGGATAGCTTGCACTACCAAGTGGACGAGCTGCTGCAGAAGCCAGGGAAAGCCGCTTCTTGTACTCACGCAATTCGCCTGTCAATTTCTCAATCTGTGCACGTAAAATGCTGTTCTCATGATTGGCCGACTCGGAGGCCTTCTGGAGGTCGTCCACCTTGGTCTCTAGATCTCTTAAATGCTTCTCTTTGCGCTCGCGGAAAGCTCGTTGAGCAGCACGATTCTGGGCCTTTCGCTTCTATAGAGTAGAAGAAAACCATGTTAGCAAGACATGATTCATTGCCTTGTGCAATTATCTAATGTCTACATGAGGAGAGAGAGAGAGCGAAAGAAGCGAGCAAGATCAGAAAAAAAAGGAGAAGTGTCCTTACTGATGTGGGTTCGGATGTCAATGGCTTCCGACCGGGCTTCTTGGAAGCTTTCTCCTCAGACTCGCGGCGCTTACCACCGCCAGCATCATCTTCATCGCCCGGATGACTGCGCTTTTCCGTGGAGCCTTCTTGATCGCCGTCGGAGGAAGTGCCAGGCAAATTGCCAATCATCTGACCTTGGAGACCGTCATTGGTGAAGTCAAAGTCGAGACCATCGGCGTCGAATTCATAGTCATAGTCAATGAAGGGACTCTCCTCGAAGCCGTTCAGGGTGGCCGAGGTAGGAGTCGGCTCCATGGCTGGCTCCGTGGGAGACTCTAGGGAAGATGGAGCCATGGAAGTATCAATGCTGGAAGTAGCCGGGTTTCGATTAGAGTTGGATTTAGAGCTGGTCGTACTCTTGTTATTGTTCTTATTGTTGTTGTTAGAGTTGCTGCTATTATTGCTGTTGCTGTTGGAATTGTAGATAGCGGGGACAGCAGTGTTGGAGTAGAGCGCTGCGAGCAGGAGCTTCTCCTGGTCTGGTGAGAGGGTGAAATGAGGATTGAGTGGCGTTCTCGAGATCGTCCTTGACTCCATATGGAGAGATATGTCGATGAGAGAGGGAAAGGGGAGACTGGTTCTGGGCGGCGGGGCTAGGACATGCAATACCTCGTTCGTTGCGTTGGTTCTGTTGGCCTTCGATGTCGTTCCTCACCTGTGGCCTTGTGCCTTCCCCTCCTCGAGCGGATTGGCAATGGAGAAGAACGAGGCCAGCGACAGCAAGGATGAGAAGAACCAGATAATGGGGTCGTGTATCAGAGAGAGAAGAAGAGATGACAGTAGTAGGGGTCGAGAACGGTAGATGAAACTTTTTCGTCTATCGGGGTCGATAGAGGAGAAGGGTCAAGCAAAGTGGCGAACCAGAAGATACGGGTGATCGTTCTCACGCAGGAAGCCGAGAGAGTGGACACTGGACACTTGGAGAAGCCGCCAGTGCCTGGGGGGAGTGGAAGAGCGAGAGAAGGGGGGGTGGATTGCGATCAGGAGAAGTGGCAGGATGGACAGAGTAACGGAAAGAATCGATGGAAGGAGCAACTGAAGGCTTCGTTTGGTTCTCTCTCGTTACGCTGGGGGGGAAATTCAGAGTAGGGCCGGTCTGAGGTGATGGCACAAGTGGTCGCAAAAAAGCAGTGCTGCCCTTGGACCTTGGATCTGCCGCCGCTTTTGCTGGCGGTTCAGGGCTTCGGCGGCAGTAACGGGGGAGAACTGGTGGGCGTGGTGGACTGAGCGGCCAAAGCGGTTGGCTGCCACTGGCTGCGACTGGCCTCGCCGCTTTAGCTGAGCAGTCTATTGCTGCGGTCAGGTGCGCGGGGACCGGCGAGAGCGTTGGTAGTTTGGTGGTTTGGGTGCTGCAGGGCGGTTTTTGATACTGCAAGTGCTGGGTCTGGGGGCCGTTTGGAAGATCAGGACTCCTGCACAGCTTCTCTCACAGATGCGGATGCGTGACACTGTACAGCGCCATGGTACGGAGTCGCTATTGTGCCGACCCATGCTGCCAGCAGATACCGTCTCGATGGCTATATCCCCGGCAGTCACGGTAAAGCAGTGGAATGCCGAGCGTTACAGGTACCTGACACGCTTACACGAGCACGACGAGTAACCAAAGAAAAAGGTAGGGTCCTGGGTCCTGGAGAGAGCGTGGTTGGGAATGGAGCTGGTGGAGGAAAGAGGCAACCACTGGCTGACGCTGCAGTCCCTCTCTGTGCAATATTGAGCTCTTTCCTTTCCCGCCAGATCCCAATCGTCAAGGAGCAGTGGTTGAGGATCTGGAGATACTTTGTTGCAGTGTGACTGGCGGACAGGAGCGGGCGGGGCGGAAAACAGGTGCGCCGACGACCGCCAGTCGGGTGCTGTAATTAGCATACAAAAAGTATGGAGTACAGCAACCATCTCCCGCCTTTCTACAGTACAGTAACGGCAATAATGCGTTCCTGTACGATACTGTACGATACCAGAAGGAGCAAAAGGGTAGGCGTAGGCGTGATGGGGATAC